AGCGGCTTCTGAAGACCGCAGAGACTCTAACTCAACCCTGCATGGTGCTTGCAACCTGCTCCTGCATTCTGACAGGAAGGTTTCACCCAAAGGTGTGAAGGATGAATCACCCCATGATGCAGATTATTTTCGGCTGCCAGTTGGCCATCCCTTATTGAGATCACAGAACTCAGAGGCTTGTGAGACTGTTTAGCCCAGCGCTCAGGCTCAGTGGAGAAACTCATTAGCTCTATTTAATTAGAGAAACCAAACACTTCCAAACCTACTTTAATGTCAGCCTACTTCCCACCACCTCATTAATATATTTTTAAAAACTTTCACCTTTAATGTGGCAATGATTTTCTTAATTCTTTCAGTATTAGAACTCCACAGATTTAAGGTATTTAGCAAGAGAACAAGTAGAAAAATTACACAAGTGAGAGTCATGATTCTTTGAACCAGTATCTTTTGGTTATTACTAAATATGAGATTTTTAAACTCGATTTTCATGTATAATCTAGATGAAGGTTGTTGTTCTGGTTTAATCCTATAATGTTGCAATTTTTAGGATCATCTTTTTTTATATAGAATTTTACATTTTCCAAAAGGTTTTCCATCCATCAGCTGATTCCCACAAAACACTGAAACAAAGTAGGAGCCACTGATAATATCTCCATTCTCCAGATGAGGAAGTCTGGGCTGAGAGTAGTCAAAGGATTTCTTCGAATGGCAGCTGTATGCTTCAAGGTTGACAATGAGGACACAAATTTCAGGCCCAAGTGGCTTGAGATACTGCCTGTCGATAAATAGGGATGTTAGGAGGAGAAGATGGTTGTCTGAGAAAAGTGACAAATTCAGAGTAGGATGTGCTAAATTGCAGCTGACTAGAGAGCTGGAAGCTGGACGCATATTTGTATGGCTCTGTCATACAAAAGCTGCTCCAATACTGTGTAAGTGTGGTCTCTCAACCTGGAGGAGGCCAACATTTTTCTTGAGTCAGAATCTTTTCCAGGTAGCCTGAGAGCCTGCAGTTAGGAAGTAGTTTCTTAATTCATCCTAGATACCCCTTTGTAATCCCTTGGTCTTTTACTCAAGCTGACCCCAACCCAGACTTAGGTGTAGGTGATACTGATTTCATAACATACTTTCATATCTTTTACCTCAATTGATTCCCACAGCACTCCTGTGAGATCTGAATTCTGGTCTCTGTCAAATCTACTAGAAAATGGGACTCTGTTAAGACGCAGGGTTTTCCAGTAGGAAACAGCTAATGGTGGCATACTGGGGACTTGAAGCTTGGGCCTCTCTCTCCAACAGCATGACTTATTCAATCATTTCCAGTGAAACTCCCCCGAACACTTTCCTTTCCTCTTCCCTTTCCTCTCTGTGTAGCTTCCTACTTTAGGATCTTCAGGAACTCTTCCCACAGTCTAATGAGCAGACCTGCTTTCTGGAAACATTCTTATGTCAGTCATACATGTTTTACTATGATTTTAAAACTTTGAGTTCTCTCTGTTAAGGGTATACTTATTCTCATTATTGTCTTCTCCCTGCTCACTATAACAAATACTTCTTGAGCCCTTGCTGTGCTCTTGACCCTGGGAGTACAATAATGAACAATCAGACATCACCTACATCCTCCTGGATTTAATATGGTTGTGGCAAGAAAGCTTTGTTTCCTGTAAGTGGGCTTCAGAGATCCACGTAACTTATAGGCAACCATTTGTTCCTGCAATTTCAGGGTATTTTTAACCTTTAATTGTGGGTTTAGGAATATTTAGCCAAATACTCCTCCAGGTGGCATATAGGCAATGAAGAGGAAACAGTACATAAAATAGTGATGTGACTTCACATTTTGAAACAAAGAGGCAGGTGGTTCTGCTGTCAAACTGAGCATTAAAATGTAACTGGGGGTGTAGGTGTGGGAGTTTCTCAATAGCCCTGGAATCAGCCAATATTTTGGTAGGTTCACAGGATTTTCTCTTTTAATAAAGGGGATTGCTTGCGTCCTATTACAGGACTAAACAGTGAAGCCAGGAAATAGTACAAGTTTCCTACTGGTTTTTGTTGAAATTTTGGAACAGATCATTACAGAACTGATTCATGGGCATTTTGGAGAAAAGGCACTGATCACTAGAAGTTAATAGGAGTTTACCATAAACAGGTTGTGTTGGACACACCCCATTGCCTTTACTTATTATGCCACGCAATGGGTAAATCTGCAGGATGAGGAAGTTTTAGCAGTGGACTTAACACGACCTCTTGTGATGTGATTGCATGTAAGCAGGTGAAATATGGGCAGGGTCGTGTCTTACACACTAGTTTCACGGGCGGGTGAATGAAAATGACTCTTCAGCATGCTAACTGTTCCATGTAAGCTAGAAGGAGGTTTTTGGTGAGGACTAGAAGCCTTTTATTCTGTTCAATATTTTTTGTTAATTACTTGAAAGATTATCTGGAAGAGGGAATGCCCAGGTATAAAAATGACACCGGTCAGGCGTGGTGGCTCATGCCTGTAATCCCAGCACTTTGGGAGGCCGAGGTGGGTGGATCATGAGGTCAAGAGATTGAGACCATCCTGGCCAACATGGTGAAAGCCCGTCTCTACTAAAAATACAAAAATTAGCCAGGCGTGGTGGTGGGCGCCTGTAGTCCCGGCCACTTGGGAGGCTGAGGCAGGAGAATCGCTTGAACCCGGAAGGCGGAGGTTACAGTGAGCTGAGATCACGCCACTGCACTCCAGCCTGGTAACAGAGGAAAACTCCATCAAAAAAAAAAAAAAAAACAACAAAAAACAAAAAACAAAAAAAAAACCAGACACCAAACTAAAACAAAAATCAAATATCGTAGACTAACACAAAAAGATGGCATAACATAGTAAGGAGAAAGAGTTCTGGCATTGGAGAGACCTTGCCACTTGTCTCTGACCTCCTGACAGTGAAGTAACATTGAACAGAGGCTTACTGTTTCAAGAGTTCAGTTCCATCACCTATAAGGTAGGGATAGGATTGTTTGTGATTCAGATCAATATGAGAATTGAAAAAGAAGTGTGTCAACACCTAATATGCTTGGCACACGTTTTCAATAAATTAATAGCAATAACAATAATAACAGCAAATTGATATCTAAAATGATCTAGAACTTCTAGAACACAGGACTGAAATTAATACGATGAAGCAAATCTGAACTTAAGAGATATGTGTGGAGATGATATTGGAGGAATCAGGACCACATTTATGACACTCAAGCTGCTAAGAATTGCTTAACACATGTCAGACACTAAGAATGTATGTTAATGATGACTTGATTATCTGTGTGTGTTTGAGAAATCACAAAGGAGAATCTTATATTGATATTATATGAGTCTGATATATTCATATATATGAATGGCTGCCATATTGAAAAGAATATGGATATCTTTATTTGCATTTTCCTAAGAGAAAGCCAGGCTAAAATGGGTGGTAGTTAAAAGCAGAGAAAATTTGGATAATATTAAACAATTTTTCTGTAGTAGTCAGAGCTTTACCGTCATGGATCTGTGTGGCTTGTGGAACAGGAGACCGTTCATCACATCAGCTGGTTTTCCTTGTACTGAAAAACCAGGCAGTGTTGGCTGCATTATGAATGTATTAAAACTTCATTTATGCATTGCCATTACTAAATATCAGTTTTGTGTTGGGCAGTGTGTTAAATGCTGGTGGCCAAAGGATAAAGATGTAACCTCCACCTTCCGTTAGGTCACAGTTAAGAAGAGAAGGTGCCCTAAGTCTCTTTGAGGGATCTGCGGAAGACTTAGACAATGAGTAGGAATTTTCCAGGTAGATATTCCACTGAAAGAGAGTAGCCAGTGTCAAGGTTAGAGGTGTGAGACATCATAATGGATTCTCAAAAAGACAAATGTTGCTGGGAGTAGACTTTTCCAGGTGGGCGAGGACCTGCAATGCCCTGTACAGAGTGTCAGGGACTCAGACGCCTTCCCACTCTATCTGTTGTGTCTTGTACATATCCATGTTAGAGCACTGATCCCACCATATAGTAATTGCTGTGGGTGCATCTCCTCAACACACTGTAAGTTCCTTGAGGGCAGAGACCATGGTTTATATATTCTTGTATCTTCACTGCTTACCCTGAGCTATCCACAGTTTACATACTAAACAAATCCTAATGAATAAAAAAGTAGTTAGATGAAAGCAATATGCATCTCATTTAAAAGGTGAGTTTTGGCATGATTTATGAAGAGGTGTTTGGTTCTTAGAGGTTTCTAAAGCTGCGCTGAATGTAACACCAAGAATCATTTCTAGAGAGCTGTGCCTTTTCCAGAGGACTTCTGCAAATGCTGATGCTATTATTTAGTTCACTGTACACAAGTATTGCACCAAACACTTTTCCTGCCTTATTATTTAATCTGCACAGCGTCCCTCTTAAGTCCACATGTATTTTCTCCATTTATTGATAAATAATTTAAGATTTGGAGAGGCTAAGTAACTCACCCAGGGTCATAGAGTCAGGGAGTGACACAGCTGGGACTTGAACCCGGGTCTGTTTGACTCCAGGGCTTGAGTCTTAACCACTACACTATCCACAGAAGGAGAAGGAGGAGGAGGAGGGAAGAGTTATCCAGTGATCCCATCTCCAGGTTAGACCCTTGAGATTCCCTTTGAATTAAAAGAGACTTGCTTGGTTAAAAGAAGCTGAGCTCTCCAGAATCTTCCAGCCCCACATTCTAATATAACCTCTGCTCTAGCAGTGGAGAAAGAGAAAATCTATAGGGGTAGGATGAGTTTAGAGGAGCTGGAGCATCGTGGATGCAGGTGGATATGGCAGCCACCCCTCCCTGCTCTCTACATGTAGCACTACTACACCAGCAGACGCAACACTTGGTTAGAGAGCGGAGGAAATTACAAAATAGTCATGGCGGAGGCAGAAAAGAAGTGGAAATTGAGACTCTTCTTGCCTTTGAATGTTTTGTATAGTCTGGGAGACCCATTGGGACGTTTCTTTTTGTTTTTCCTTTCGACTGGGATGTCTTCCATTTGGAAGCCCCTTTGCTTCTAAGAAGTTCCGGAGGCCAGCCCAGGTCCACAGGTAAGGAGGCTAGGACGTACCTCTTAGTTATATCCTGGAAGAGAGGGAGAAGTGACCTGCAGGTCTCCCGGACTGAAAAGCACAGTGCATGTTAAGTGGAACCCAGGGAAGATATTGACTTTAAAAGCAAGCATGGAATGAGTGGCTGACTTTTGCTTGTTGCTTGAGTCTGGCAGATGGGGGTGGGCAGGAGGTTAAGGAACTTCAGCAGACGCCAGCAGTCTGTGGATGTGGGTGGCCATTCTTCCTAGGGGCTGAAAAGACGGTCACCTTGCACTTGTGAAGATAAAATTCAAACCCAAGTTTCTCTGTCTTGGAACACAGAACAGCATAACCGTTTCTCAATCTTCGAGAGGAATGTTTTCAAAAAGTAGCAGCATATAGGGAATACAAGGCTGCCTAAGGTTCTAATTCACAGATGTAAATTCTGCCCCGTCAATAAGTCTTGGTGTTTGTAGGATTTGTTTGCAAGGACAAAGATGAAAGGCCAGTTGCTATAAAACCTTTCCGCTCCCTCCTGATTGGTGAGCAAAAATGTCCACACACTGCCATCTGGTGGGCACTCCTGGTCACTGTCGTTTTAATGAGAAAGTTTGAAGTTTACTCCAAACTTAGAAGGGGCCAGGCAACTAATTACTAGTTTTGAGCAAAACAGCAACGTATAAAACACAGTTCCTGGCTGCGAAGGGCTCACAGTCTACCGGTCTTCAGCAAAACAGCAACGTATAAAACCCAGTTCCTGACTGCGAAGGGCTCACAGTCTAATGGAAGAAACAGACCTGCCCAACATGTCGTCATAACTGAATAAGCACTAGTTTAAGAAAAGGTGCCGAGTGTTATCAAAGCAGAGGACCTTTCTCTGGGAGTTTAGGGGAAACCACCTTTGAGCTGAGTCTGGAAGCATGCCTCACACTGGGAAAAAGGAGGAGAAAGTTTATTTTAAACACAGGGAACATTATGGGTCATTGCATGGTGTGAGTTTTTAGTTCGGCCTGGCTGGTACCTAAGGAGCATGGAAAGAAGCTATAGATAAAAGGCTGAGAAAAGTTTAAGCCAGACCATGAGGGGCCTTGAATGCCTGACTTAGGCAGTGAATCAATCAGCTCTAGATTATATAGCCAGAATATAAAGGAATCAGATTTGGGTGGTAACGCAATATGAAAAACAATTGTCTGTACACATGCTTCTCAAACATTTGGAATTCTCTCATTACTTGAAATCACCTATGGAAACCCATTATGTGAAATAGGTAAAACCGTAGTTCTTCTGGTCAAAGCAGAAGTGGAGATTCAGAGCCTGAAGAACTTCTGCCATCCCATTTCTCCCATTCCTGCCACATGCGGATGCCTTTGGGTAGCGCCTAAGGCTCAGCAGAATCTTGCTGGACACGGCTGCTGTGGGCGATTGCTGCCCTAATGTGACCGTCTCTGCTCTGGTGTTAGCAACTGCTTCGTCCTGTCCCTCCTATGCCATAGGTGTCCATAAAGGAGGTTCTAGATCTTTTCCTACGTCAGCTCTGTTCTCAAGATTCCATTTATGGTAATCTCTATCTTATTAATGAATTAACTTGTCCAAGCAATCTATGTTACCTGGTCTCTGGCCCCTAGCTTTATATTGCTAACGGACATACGTAGGGAGGTGGATAGAAAGGAGCCATCTCGCAGTGTCTGTTAATCATCACTGTATGCTGCCTAAGGTATTATTTCATGTTAAGTATCTACGGCATATGTGTAGCACAGATACTCTGTGATGGAGTTATGAGAAGTTGTTTGGTCTTACTCAGGGCACGACCGTTGTTGCTTTCATTCCAAGAACAGCACTCTGAGAAAGCATTCAAGAACCTCTGAGGAGTGGCTGAATTATCCAGATATCTAGGACTTTCTGTTCTGTGAAGACGTGGAGCTTCTAGATGCTATTTGCCACAAGAGGAGAGATGTCAGTCTAAGAATTGATGAAGAGTGACTGGTCCCCTGATGGGCAAAGACTGCCTTGTTCCAGCCAGCGTGGTTATCTTCTGCCCTCTTCAGAACAACACTTTTAGATGCAAAACACAAATTCCACCCACCAAACAGCATTTCCTCTCATTCTCTCTCTTGTTCCTTGTCTTTACTCACGCCTTGCCCACTCTCTCTGCATGGTGGGGTCAGTTTGCTCTCACTTTCCCACACTAACTTCTCTGTTTCGAGCCTGTGTCCGGAACTGCCTCCTTCTTGCCATCTGGTAGCTGACATCTGCCACATCTTTCCAACCAGAGCCCCCATCTTTTCTTGGAGGCCTTAAAAAAAAAAAAAGATGTTAACTTTCATTGCATGACTTTTCCCAGTACATGATTATGTACAGTGTTTTCCACATGGTTGAAATAACTACTTTAGCATCGACTCTTGCCTGCATTACTTAGGTTAATTGTTATTTTCGTGATGGCACACCGAGCAGTGTCCTTTGATGTACCCAGTGCCAAATTCGATAAACAATAACTCAGAATATTACGCTTTATAACTAATGAGTTGGGGCTGTTCTAGGTTTTATTAGAGCAAATGGAAATGCAATTCCACTTACCGCCTTTGATGAAGAGCAGCAAAGTGGAAGTGACTTTGTGAAGTTGCAGGCTTTGTATGGATTTCTTTTTTTGAGACAGAGTCTTGCTCTGTCGCCCAGCCTGGAGTGCAGTGGCACGATCTTGGCTCACTGCAACCTCCACCTAGGTTCAAGCAATTCTCAAGCCTCAGCTTTCTGAGTAGCTGGGATTACAGGCATACACTACTACACCGGGCAAATTTTTGTATTTTTAGTAGAGGCGGGGTTTTACCACGTTGGTCAGGCTGGTCTTGAACTCCTGACCTCGTGATCCACTCGCCTCAGCCTCCCAAAGTGCTGGGATTACAGGTATGAGCCACCGCGCCCAGACCTTTGTGTGAATTTCTACTGTTTATTTACCTGCTTCAGTGGAGACTGCTCATTTTCACAGCCGTTTCCCTTCATAAAACCGTTAACTCCTTGAAGGAGGGAAATGACAGTGCGGGGCTTGGGACCAGGATCACAGTACATGATCAATAACTACTTTTTAAATGTATTTTCAATAGAGTTGTAAGGATTCATCTGGGTACTGAAGACATTTGGGACCTCAGTGAAGTTTCTCCAAGACCAGATGGTCACACTGATTTTCTGGAATCATTTTGAATAAAAACGAGCGAGGTGGTGAACACAATGCAAGGCTCTCCGCGTACTGTCTGGTATTGTTCAACCAGCTCCATGGCTCCCTGAGGGCAGAGATGAGCAGATGTTAATGGAGACAGCCAGGTGGGATGATGTTATAACATTTCTCCTACAGCCCCGAGTCTCCCAACTCCTGCCTGTGTGATCTGAGTAAGACTCAGTGCACGACATCGGTGTTCCCATCTGTGCAATGAAGGAATTGATCCCCCAGGATCTTCCATTTCTGACAATGCTTTGGATTTCATTGGTTTTGTCACACGTACTCCCCAAAAGCCTCCATCTTTGGATAAGTGATTAAAACTGCTGAGTAATTTTCAATCAATAAAAGTTCAGCGCTGGCTCTCATTTTCTTCCAAAGATGTTTGTGCAAAGACCTGTGCATAACAATTCAGATGACAAGCACACCTCCAAAGTGAGTCCCTTAACACCACTTGTCCTTGGGGTTTCAATAAGCTCAGTCATTCAGAAAAGCAAGTGAGTTTTGCAGATACAAGATACTGTATTATTAGAAACTCACCAATATAGAAAAAGCTGATGTGGGTTGGGAGATAGAGTTGATATCCCAGCAACAGTCTTCTTACTTCATAATCTAAGTATATCAGAGACGTATTTTGGAGACACAAATTTGACCCTAAATATAGCTAAAACCATGCTCTTGCAAAGGGCTTCGGTGTAAGGTATTACTTTGTGCTTAATTATTGAGGCTGTTAAATTCCTTAGGTTTCTCTTTCTCACAACCAAAGGAGTTTAACGGCCTCAGTAATTAAGCACAAAGTAATACCTTACACCAAAGCCCTTTGCAGAAAGAGAAACCTGGCCGGGTACGGTGGCTCATGCCTGTAATCCCAGAACGTTGCGAGGCCGAGGCAGGTGGATCACCTAAGGTCAAGAGTTTGAGACCAGCCTGACCAATATGGTGAAATCCTGTCTCTACTAAAAATACAAAAATTAGCCAGGTGTGGTGACATGCCCCTGTAGTCCCAGCTACTCAGGAGGCTGAGACAGGACAGTTGCTTGAACCCGAGAGGCAGAGGTTGCAGTGAGCCGAGATCATGCCACTGGACTCAAGCCTGGTGACAGAGCATGACTCCATCTTAAAAAAAAAAAAAAAAAAAAGATTACTTGATCCTCCAGTATATATCAAGTAACGGAGGATTTACTTTGAGGACATACTTGTGAAATAGGCCTCTCTGTCTTTACTGGAAGCCAGGCAAACCTTAACCGTCAGACCTTACAGAACCTGGAACTTACAGAACCTGGAAGGGGAATGTGGTCTGGATTGAGCAGATGTGCTTGGCTTGATCTGCTCTAGGGACTGCAGGAGCCAGAGCACAAGGCTCTTGTTCTTGTGCTTCACTTTCCATGTGACTCAACTACTCTGTCAGTTTCTGCTTCCCTTAGAATCTGTTCTTTTTATGTTTACAAGGTGAACTGTTTACTTCATTTTACAAAATCTGGAAAGAAATGGTCTGAGGCTATGTTTAATTACCGTAGTCCATTGAGGAGTTTTCCTTCAAGTCACACCGTCGTTGCTGATTATCCTATATTTTGGCAACTCTTGGGCCATGGGCACTTCCTAGTCCAATCAGCTTTGGCCAGAAGCAGGTTCTACCATATAGACATGATTATCTCCAAATTAGAGGGAAACCCCAGCTCCAAGTGAAAGGGACGTGTGAACAGTGTCCTTTAGAAAGGGATGTGTGATGGTGGGACAGACATGTCTGCTGCAGTAGGAATGTTTCATTTGGCAGAGAGAAAACCTAAGAAAAAGTAGGATTGCTACCCGCCATTATTATTAAAAAGTAGGATTGCT